TGATCGACTGGATCCGCGCTGCTCGTCTCCAGCTCAGGAAGAGCTTCGGCTCGGACTTTCCTGTTGTGCGTCTGCACTCCGACAGAGGTGGTGAGTTTTCCTCTGACCTTCTGTGGGCCTTCTGTCAGGCGGAGGGCATTTGCCAGACGTTCACGCTTCCGGCCTCTCCACAGCAAAATGGGATTGCTGAGCGCCGCATTGGCATGGTCATGGATGTCGCTCGTACGTCCATGATCCATGCGGCTGCTCCCCATTTTCTGTGGCCGTTCGCGGTTCAGTACGCGGCGCATCAGATCAACCTCCAGCCCCGGGTCTCCATGCCGGAGACCACTCCCACTCTGCGGTGGACGGGGAAGGTTGGCGATGCGTCTGTGTTCCGTGTCTGGGGATCTCAGGCTTTCGTCCGCGACTTGTCTGCGGACAAGCTGTCCTCTCGTGCCGTTCCTTGCGCCTTCCTTGGCTTTCCCCCTGACGCGCCTGGTTGGCAGTTCTACCACCCCACCTCGCGCCGTGTTCTGTCCTCTCAGGACGTCACGTTTGACGAGTCGGTTCCCTACTACCGTCTCTTCCCCTACCGCGCTGCCCCCCTCCCCCCCCCGCCGCTCTTCCTCGCGCCAGGTCCTCCCCAGGTAGACCCCCTTCCCCCTCAGGGTCCTGCCCCCTCAGGTGTGTCCCAGGTAGACGCAGTCGAGCCTGTCGAGGTAGCTGTTGACTCTGGTGCTGCTAGGGGTGCTGAGCCTGCGGGTGCTGGGTCTGGGGGTGCTGAGCCGGCGGGTGCTGGGTCTGGGGGTGCTGAGCCGGCGGGTGCTGGGTCTGGGGGTGCTGAGCCTGAGCGTGTTGAGCCTGGGGGTGCTGAGCCTGGGGTTGCTGAGTCTGGGGGTACTGAGACTGGAGGTCCTCCGAGTGTCCCGTTGCGGCGGGAGCCCCTCTCTCCACTGCAGCTTCGTGAGTGGTACGCTAGGCGCTGTAGCCGTGCTGCTGGAGCTGAGGGGCCTGCTGCTGGAGGTGCTGCTGGTGCTGGAGCTGCTGGAGGTGCTGGAGCTGCTGGAGCCGCTGGTTCTGGAGGTGCTCGTACTGGTGCTGCTGAGGGAGTTGGAGCTGGAGGTGCTGGTGCTGCTGGAGGTGCTGCTGGTGCTGGAGCTGCTGGAGCCGCTGGTTCTGGAGGTGCTCGTACTGGTGCTGCTGAGGGAGTTGGAGCTAGAGGTGCTGGTGCTGCTGGAGGTACTACTGGTGCTGGAGCTGCTGGAGCCGCTGGTTCTGGAGGTGCTCGTACTGGTGTTGCTGCGGGAGTTGGAGCTGGAGGTGCTGTTGCTGCTGGTTCTGGAGGTGGTCGTCCTGGTGCTACTGAGGGAGTTGGAGCTGGAGCTACTGGAGCTGCTGGTGGTGCTGCGGGAGTTGTGGCTGGAGACCCTAGCGCTGAGGGTCCTGGTGCTGTCTCTGCTGGTTCAGGAGGCGCTGCGCGGCCGCGGCCGTACTACGTTCCGCTTCTTCAGCAGGTTCTTGGCCTCCCGCCCTCTACTTGTCCTACTCCTCCCCTACTGAGTCCACCGCCTGTCCAGTCGCAGTCACAGTTACAGCCAGCCTCTCCGCTGCCTGGTCCTTCTCCTTACACTGCGCCGACGGGTAGTCTTACGGAGCGTTGTGAGCCTGAGTCTCGTCCTCCGTCGCCTGAGTCTCGTCCAGCGTCGCCTTAGTCGCGTCCAGAGTCGCCTGTCCGCGCTGTCCGCGCTGGTCGTCGTGCTCCGCGTCAGCGTCCTCCTCCTGTCCCTGGCACTCACTATATGGTTCTGCGTCCGTCCACTGCTCCACAGCGTGTCCCTCTGCCGTCTCCTCCTGCGTCTTCTCTTCCTGACGTTGCTGACCCGCCGTCAGACCTTGCTCGTGCTGCCAGTCCTACTGTCACACGTCTTCTAGCTACTGCTGTCACTGACCCTTCGTTTGGGTCCACTGCTGCGTCTGCTCTAGTTGCTGAGCTTGTTGACTTTGCTGCTGCCTGTCGTCTAGACTACGCCGCTAGCCTTGTTGCTGAGTCTGAGTCTGTCTGTCCTCCGTCCGTCGGGGGTGAGTGTGCTCTTGGCACGGACGTCCTTGAGGACAGACAGGAGGAGTTTGAGTGCTTTGCCGCTGCTTTACCTCATCTCGTGTCCATGCTGATTGCCCCTGAGGGAGACCCGGATGCACCAGACATCCCGACCCCGCGCTCTTACGCAGAGGCGATAGAGGGTCTCCCACCTGGGGCGAACATCGTCAGTGGCATGTGGATTTTCAGGGTGAAGCGGCCGCCGGGTTCTCCGCCTGTCTTCAAGGCGCGTTACGTTGCACGAGGCTTCAGTCAGCGAGAGGGAGTTGACTTCTTCCAGACCTTCTCCCCTACCCCGAAGATGACCACTCTTCAGGTTCTGCTGCACGTCGCCGCTCAGCGTGACTACGAGCTCCACTCTCTTGACTTCAGCACTGCTTTCCTACAGGGCAGCCTGCACGAGGAGATCTGGCTCCGCCGCCCACCTGGCTTCACTGGGTCTTTTCCTGCTGGTACCCAGTGGAGCCTCCGGCGGCCAGTCTACGGTCTCCGCCAGGCACCCCGTGAGTGGCACGACACACTGAGGACGACTCTCGCTGCTCTTGGGTTTGCTCCTTCTACTGCTGACCCGTCGCTGTTTCTACGCACCGACACCACTCTGCCGCCGTTCTACGTTCTCGTGTACGTAGACGACCTGGTCTTTGCTACTGCTGACACTGAGGCACTTGCCCACGTGAAGTCGGAGCTGCAGAAGAGACACACGTGCACAGACCTGGGTGAACTGACAAGCTATCTTGGCTTGCGGATCACCCGGGACAGAGCACAGCGCACCATTACCTTGACTCAGTCACACATGGTGCAGCAGGTCCTTCAGCGCTTCCGCTTCACGTACTCCTCGCCACAGGCCACTCCTCTGCCTACGCGCCACTCGCTCTCAGCTCTGCCTTCGGATGAGTCCGTAGAGCCGAGTGGCCCATATCCAGATCTTGTGGGCTGCCTCATGTACCTGATGACCTGCACTCGACCTGACCTTGCATACCCTCTTAGCATCCTCGCACGCTATGTTGCTCCTGGCCGTCACAGGAAGGAGCACATGGATGCTGCTAAGAGGGTGTTGCGCTACTTGTGCAGTACGTCGGGCATGGGGCTCGTGCTTGGAGGACGGGCTCGAGTTGTCCTCACTGGTCACGCAGACGCTTCTTGGGCTGACGACTTGGCTACGCAGCGGTCGTCACAGGGTTACACCTTCAGTCTTGGCTCCGGCTCTGTTTCGTGGCGGTCTACCCGCTCGCTCTTCTGTTCTCGGCTCCAGCTGTGAGGCCGAGATCTACGCAGGGGCCATGGCTGCACAGGAGTTACGCTGGCTCACTTAGCTGCTGACCGACCTGGGAGAGCCGCCTCGTTCTCCTCCAGTTCTGTACGTCGACAACAAGGCCATGCTGGCCTTGTGTCAGGAGCACAGACTGGAGCACAGAACGAAGCACATTGCTCTTTGCTACTTCCTCGCACGTGAGCTGCAGCAGCGTGGTCAGCTGCGCCTTGCTTACGTGGCCACTCAGGCCAACACTGCTGATATCTTTACCAAGGCACTTCAGCCTTGTGATCATCAGCGCTTTTGTACGATGCTAGGTCTTGTGCCCACTTGACCTCACTTGCTTACTTCTTAACCTTCCTTGTACTGTAATCTATATATACCTGCTCTTGCTTGTTTACCTTTATATATATGATCCTGCATGTGAACTGGCCTTGTGGCCTTTGAACCGGTGCTCGGACTGTGTGGTGACATTGTGATCCACCCTGAGCTTGCTTTGCTTGACTGGTCTTGTGACCCCTAGTTCTCCCCCACTTTGCCTATGGGGGTGTGTCAGATATATATGACTTAGTCTGTGTAGGCTATAGTGGGGTAGACACTAAGGGGTACAAGTTTCTAGGGTCTCCTATTTGTACACAACATTTCCTAGTTCATTATATTCCTCATTTCTTCACATGGGTACGGTACGAGTATGAGACAAGTACGCGCGCGGGACGGGTACGAGAAGGGCTTGACAAGGAGCGTGCTTTGCATGGCAGCGCACGGGACGGGACGGGTCAGCGCACGGGACGGGGCGGGGCTGACGGGCGGGGCTGGGCCTGCTATCGGGCGGGGCGGGCCTACAAACGAGTGGGGCGGGGCGGGCCTACGAACGAGTGGGGCGGGGCCTGCGAAGGGGCGGGGCGCGGCCCGCTAAGGGGCGGGGCGCGGCCCGCTAAGGGACGGGGCGGGTGGCTAGTCTAGGCTAGGATCGGGTACCTACTCGTTATACCGTCTCGGAAACAGAATATCGGAAATGAATTAACTACGAATGTAGGTAGTACAAGTACAACCCTAAAATGTGCTATACTCTCTAGAGTGTGCCTCACTACAGTTTACAGAGACCGCTTGGATCAGGGTTTTTTCCATCGACTTTGCGCTCACACGACTCGACTGACTCGCATCACACCATCAATTACGTATTCCAGTGGAAGGCTCCCCAGTGATTCGTTTGAGGAACAGGCTGACTGGCCGCACTATGGGGTGGGGTAAATCAGTGTACTACGCTAATGTGCATCACCCAGCAGTGGAACCGGACTTCAGAAAAGCTTTTACCGGTGAGATATAGGCCCTGTTCGGTAGCACTCACAACTTCCAAAATTTGGTTTGTTTGGCCGTTGAAAGACCCGCAAGTGACTACGTTTAGTGGTTTGGCACCGCGAAAATCGTGTGCGACCGTCGTGCGACTAACTGAAATGCCCCTCGTGGAAATGTACAACTGGTAATGTTGGCCGTTGAGATTTACATTCAGGTAGAAATGGTTTGTCATTTGTGCGCACAGTGCGGCGACCTGCTAGATTTTGCTGAGGTGTATCGGAGCTGTCAGAACTTCACGGCAGCAGCAACAGCAGCAAGGTTAGTGCAGGAGTGGCGACGGTGAAAGAGAGCATGGAGTCGGTGCGAGCCTTCATGTCCGGCTCAATCACGTACGTGCTGCTCGCTGCTCGCTGCTCACTACTCACTGTTGCAGTCGCCCATGCACTCTGTATACATCCACAACACTCCACCACCTGCCTCTGTTCATCAGACACCGCACACTCATGCTCCATTTTCTCTTGCTCCCCTTTCTTCCTCCCCTTCCCTCCCTTCCCCCCAGTTTGGCCGCCACTCGCTCCACGCAGAGGCGCCCCTCATCGCGTCCTCCTTCTCCCGCGGCCCCCTCATGCAACCCACTGCCAACCCCGCCGCCCCCAAGCCTACCAACGACATCCTCAAGCCCGACATAATTGCGCCAGGTGTGGAGCTGTGGAGTGCAGGCCCGGGGCAGTACTTGGGCGACCCCAACAGCTACTTCTCCGCGCTCTCCGGCACCTCCATGGCCACACCACACGTGGCGGGCATTGCAGCACTGCTCGTGCAGCGCTACCCCACGTGGACGCCTGCCATGGTCATGTCAGCCATGATGACATCAGCAGCAACAAGCAACAACAAGGGGTTCAGCATCCGGGATTCGTCGAGCGACTTTGCGACGCCGTGGGACATGGGCGCAGGGCACGTGAACCCGATGGGGCTGCTGGATGTGGGGCTGGTGTACGACGCGGATGCACTCGACTTCAAGAACTTCCTTGCCGGGCAGAACCTGGCCAAGGCCAAGGCAGCGTTCAAGAGCATGCCGGTGAAGGCCATGAAGGTGTACAACCTCAACCGCGCCTCTATCTCCGTGACGCGGTTTGTGGGGACCGTGGTGGTGATGCGCGAGGTGACGAGCGTGGGCAACGCTACGAGCACGTACAAGGCGGACATTGTGGTGCCGGATGGGGTGCTGCTCACCGTGAAGCCCGCCAACTTCAGCATCACGCCCAATGAGACGGTGCCGTTCAATGTGGCCATTGTGGCCATCCGCACGGGCAGCACGGCGTTCTCGTACGGCAGCCTAACGTGGCGCGACCAATGGGGGCATGCCGTGCGCTCCGTCATCGTGGTGCAGCCTCTCAAGCTCAAGTGACGCGCGCCTTCCAGCGCACCGTGGCGCCGGGCTGCCAGCTAATATTCTACTCCCATTGCTCACCTGCACCCGTGTGTGCCATGCAGTGGTGCAGCAGCTTTTTTTTTTTTTTTTTTTTTTAGTGATGAAAGATACACTATAAGTGCACAATACATCGGCAGTCGTAACTGCAGTGGTGCAGCAGTGCTGTGCCGAGTGCTTTGAGAGGAGGCAATTGTATGATAGGAGAACAGGGCTGCAAAGTAGGTGTAGAGCTGTGTGCTGTCTTGACTTCCCTTGTGGGTTGCTTGTCTCCGGGAACTTGTATATTTAAAAAAAAATATTCCTGGTTTTCAAAACTGTAGCTCCAGCTTGACAACTGGAAACATAAAAATCAGTGCTTGACAAAATCTTAGCTTGTCTGGTGCTAAACTTGAATCCATGAATCGTTGGCAGCATCATTTTTGGCGACTCTTCAATCACGATTCACACGATACTTCACAACCAACAGGAATCGCCGCCATTACCACAACCAGAGCACACCATCAATCAATCCGTTGGCATGTTCCACTGAGGAACAACAGGCTGACTGGCCGCCAGGGCTCTCATTATCAGGGTAAAACACCCTGATTGCCCTGACTGGCGGCCGCTTTTTTTTCAGTTACCCTTTCCCAGGAAGGGTAATGGGATTTTTACCCTAGGCAAGAAAGTGTATTTCTTTTTTTACCCTTTGAAAAACAGCGTATAGGATTTGTTTCTCTGATTGTACAGGGTACGATCTGAACTATACTGATACCGAATGCTCCGTAGCGAGACGAAACACTATTCGAGCCCCTGCAAAATCCTCCCAATACGCAATCGTACCAAATGAGCCACTAAGTGTTGAACCAGATTACTTTCGCATTTATTCATACATACATAAACAAATTACCCTGCCCAAACAGACTTATAGTTTTTTTACCCTGAATTTGTCAGGGAAATATTTTTTTTTACCCTAAGCATCAGGGTTGACTATACATAGAACCCTGATTACTAAGGGTGGCCCAAAACGAATCTGAAGCCCTGCTGGCCGCACTATGGGCCGGGGTAAACCAGCGTGTACTGCCCTAATTTGCATCACCCAGCTGCGGAACCTGATTCTAGAAAAGCTTTTAAGAAATTTAAGAATTTAGCCTAGAATATACAGAGTAAAGAAGCATGGCGAGAGCCAATACAGAGCAGTTTGCGTGCGCAAATCAGCCCACCCCAAGAGCCCTAAAAATCAGCCCACCATGCACGCTTGAAAGCGTTTAGTTGAGGGGCTCCCTTGGGAACTCCTCGACGGGACTGAGCTGCTTGGCGCGGTGGTACTCGGTTTGCGCGCAGTCCACGGACAGCACGGAGCTCGACTCGTACAGCCGCGGAGTACCGTCCAGGAACCCAGCGCCCTCCTCGCTGTCAGCCGAGATCGGACGGTGCAGGTTTGCGATCAGACGCTGGAAGTCGGCGGCGCGCGCCGCGTGGTCGGGGCGGTACGTCTGGCCGAGCACGCCGTGCATGTCGTCCGTGTGCTCCAGCTCCACGATGCCCATGTTAATGTGCGCCTCGGCGTCGTTGGGCGTCTGCAGCTTGGGGTTGGCGACGCGCAGACGCAGGTCGAGCGCCACGAGCCCGTCGATGTTGAGCGTGTAGTAGTCCACGTCATATGGGCCCTCCTTCTCCAGAGCCGCGAACCTCAGAGTCAGCCCGCCCTCCATCGTCACCTCGTCGCCCACGCTCATCCTCGGGATCTCCTCGCCGTCGATCTCGATCGCCTTCATGAAGCCGTTGCCGCGCTCCTGCTGCTTGCCGCCGCGCGCCGCCAGCCGCACCTTGTGGTCGGCGCCGTTGGCGAACCACACGATACCTAACTCCTTGATCCACGTGTGCACGGCCTTGCCGTCCACCACCAGCGCCGCATTCTCCGTGTCGTCCGAGTAGTACCCGCGCAGAAGCATGTTCACGTGCAGGTCACGGTCCGTCAGAAGGCAGAACGCCTTGTCGGGCCGCCCGTTGAAGTCGAAGTGCGTGCCGTACGCGCCCACCAGATGCGGGTCGTTCACCACGTTCGCAGCAGGGTTGCACTCGCCGCCCGTGCGCACCTGGAGAGCGAGGGGCTTCGAGTCCGTCGCGTACTGCGCCGTGAGCTCGCCGCACGAGTAGTCGATGTTGTCGTGCACCAGGTAGCACGCGCCGTCCGATTTCTTGCCGTCGATCGTGATGTCGGGGATGTACTGCCAGTACGTGCAGCTGCTGTACCCCGCGCACGTGTTGCAGCACGTCTGCGGGGAGGCCTTCTTCAACGTCAGCGGGTTGCCCTTCACGTACACCTCCACGCCCAGCTTGTTCTTGAGCAGGTTCGACGTCTTCCACTTGGCGGGGATGCCGCCCTTGCTGCAGTTGGCGGGCGTGCACGCGCCTTGCCCGGGCGCGTCCAGGTCCTTGTGGCACTTCATGGCGTTCCACCCGGCCTTCTTCACGTCCACCATGAGAATATTGTCCGTCGTCGGGCTCACCACCGTCGTGCCCTTGAAGTCATCCAGGTTGCCCGCAGCCGCCGCCTTCTCGATGCTAGAAGGGACCACCATCGCCACGCCATTGTCGCCCTTGGCTTGGTCCAGGTTGACCGTCGGGTTCTTGGGTCCGGTCATGACGGTTTGTCCAGCGGACGCAACCACCAGTAGCACGGCGAACGATGCGACAAAAAGTAAACGCGCCATGAGGTAAGCTTGTGTGGTCAACCTATTACAAAGTACAAAATAAAATGTAGTTAGCTCGGAAACGTATTCGACTACTCTTGGCTGGATAATAAAGGAGCCCCGCGCCTTGTGTCACCGTGGAAACTGACAGAAGCTGATTTCGAGATGTCGCGGGTGCTAGCGTCGCTATAGCTGTGGATGAGTTGGGTTGCTAGCTCCCCTTGCTGGTTTTGTACAACCGGCATTGTGCGTCTCCCGCTCTTCACTGGTAAATTCAGGTTTCGGTTTGATTGTTGTTGCGAGCCGCGACCACATGGTTTTTCCGAATCGCGCTCAGAAAAATAGCAGCGACTGTACTGTACCGGTATTTAGTTCGACCTGCGACAGAAGCGTCCCTCACTGGCTAAAACAGTCAGGTTTCCCGTCAGGCACATTTTGTGGATGGTGGTATTTCGCGAATCGCAGGTATCAGGTGTGTATGCAGTTGTCAACCAGCCCAGTCCAGGCATAATCGTGATTGGCGAGTTGGGCTTCGGTCGCATTCTTTCGCCGCTCCGCGTTTCGCTTCCTTCTCTCCTTTCGCGTTCTTTATTGGGTTTTGAGTTAATCACTATAAGGAAATTTCCCCTTTCCTTACCTTGCGCCCCTCCTTACCAAGTACACGACTATTCCCGCAAACATTACCCAACAATAAATCGTTACCACTAGCGACACTCGCCACTGTTCACATAGCGACCCAACCTCACGGCTCGGTTGGTAATCCGCGCTCCAGCCTTCCGCCTCGACAATTCCCAACCTCGGCGCCGGGCCCGTCGCGCACCCCACATTTCGCTCGTTACCGTTACGACGCTAGTTCGCTATATAACATCCGCTAATTCCTTCGCTCAATGTACTGTTTTGCTTCGATGGTGAAATCTTCGTTCACTCACTCAATTGCACTTGTAACACTTGGTATTTAGAGCCACGACCCTTTTCAACAGCGCCCACACCTTTGCTTCCCGAATTATCGCAGTATTTGGGGGGATAGACGTCCGTCAGCAACCAAGCACATCTGCTCGTGTGCTCTCTCGTAAGCACACTCAGCGACGACATAGTCTCTCGCTGAGCTAGCTCGGCACCCCCGCCATGGACGAATCCTGCCGAATTCCTCTCGCGACATTGACATAGGAGCGACTCGACGAACAAATGCGCCAACTCGAGGAGTCTTTGAAATCGCGACGCTCACGGCGGAACGTGACTCCGTGCGACAACAGTCAACGATGAACGCACCGGCATCAGCAAAAAAAAAAATGTAATTGCACAAACTGAAGAGCACATTGTCATCTCATCCGGGACACCATTGCAACACGACACCGTGGAACAGCGATCTGCCGCAATTAGTGATGGCTCCTCCCAATCTATGCCGGACATGGAGAGAACCAGGGAGGCATCGGGCGGGAACACACCTTGCGGAGAATGTTAGAATAAGGATCCTTGGATAAAATAAGTCTGCAAGAGTTGGTAGCGGAAGTCTTGTAGTAGTAGTAGGAACCTTGTGCATAGTCAATGTAAATGACAAGATTGGTTAAAAAGAAAACATTGCACACATATAAATATATCCTAGCTAGCCATGTACTCTAAGAGGTACATTCCCTTATTAACTATAATGCAATGCTACAGTGCTAGTGATCCTTGCAATTCCTTCGCTGGTAACCGTTCGGTCCTGGTCAGTCAACAGTCGCGACAATTGACTTGCGACTGTTGACCTGCGTGCCTTATATTGGCTAACGCATACTGCTGCTGTTGTTGTTCGGTAGTAGCAGGTGCGTTACTGCTGCACCTTCGGGAATGCTTAAGTAATTCCCTGCTTTGTCCAACACTCCCCTGCATTCCTGGAGGTGCGCCACGTGGCTCTTCTTGACGACTCCGCACAGGTCCGTGCAGTACTGGAATTTCTGACTTGGTAGTTTCTTCGTCAGAAAGTTGGCTGATATCTCGCCAGTTGGGCAGTAGGTAAGCTGGACCTTGCCCTTGTCGATATCGTCCTTGACGAAGAAGTAACGGAGGGCGATGTGTTTCGTGCGATTGACGAAGACGGGCTTGTTTGCGATCTTGATCGCGCCCTGGTTGTCACACAGTCGCTTGAATGACCCATTCATCGCCATCTTTGTATCCTGTAGGAGCTCCGTAAGGTAGAGTGCTTTGCGAACTGCTGCACTTGCTGCGATGAGATCAGCTTCTGCTGACGAGACCGCGATGAGCTTCTACTTCTGTGAGTTCCAGGAGATGATTCCCGCAGGTTCGAGCTTGAAAATAAATCCCGTG